CATATTGGTGACTGTGAGCCCACTGGTGGTATAAACGTTGGTTAATGCAGGTGTTGATTTGGTTATAGGAGCTCAATAATAAGTAAATTAAGACTGATAAAATTGGGTTATGATTTCCACCACTGGACCCCCTGACTATGCTTCACAAATATGACTTTGAGAACCATTGCTCTTAGATCGCACCTATTTAGTTTGCCTATTCAGTGGAGCTTAAAAGGTCTATGATTTGTTTTTCTATTCTTCATATCCTTATCTACCACTGCAGCACAGAAAAGGAGCTGAACTCACACAAGAGCTGGAGCTACTCCTAGTGGAGAGCTTAGATACAAACACTGCATGAATCACACTTCTATATACAGTACCTGAATCTACTGTAAGTCATTAACAGACTGAAGAGGGGAGACCAAGGTGGCACACTCATCTAATCTCAATTTACCAAACCTCATTTTGTTCATATTTGCAGAAAGGCCTGTAAGAAAAGCATGAGGAAAACATTTCTAAAAGCTGGATGACATTGGTCAACAGGAAGCCTTTTATCCTCTTTCCGTCAGAGGACAGACCGGTGTCCTTTGATCCAAAGATGAAAGAGCATTCATTTGGATAAGGAGATGATACAGCATGGCATGATCTGAGCAAAGAAACAGCCCATTAAAATGTACATCACCACATATTATCCTGCGTTGCTTGTATTTAGGCCCTAAATATTGGCAGTGTATAATTAGTATATTAACTATAACTATGTTATTCCCATATTAAGTGATAACCACAGTAACATAAGAGATGGATAAACTATGATACATCAGCACGGTGATTATTTTGGCAGGCCCATGTGCTATAAATGAATGTTTTCTGAGGAAGTCAGATATAGAAAGGGCACTCGATCTGGATAAAGAGCACTGTATTGACACCCAGCCCAATATAGAGCAAGCCTAAATAACAAGTTAATGGATCTTACAATTAGCTCTGTCCTAAGGAATGAAGCAAATTAATCAGAGCTGACTGGCTCTACCCTCTCTTTCTTGCTTACTGTCTACGAGAGGCTGCTGACATTATTTTCGTTGTGTTGATTAATGGCAGGGCTGGTATCCAGGACAACAACGTCGGACTAAGAATAATAGTGGCAGAGATAAAGACGGGCATGGTCCATTCATCCCGATTTAGCTGCTTCATGTTGAGGTTCCATAAGCCGACAGTGCTGCAATTTACTATTTGATTAACAGCTTTGTCCAGAGTGGTATTTCTCTATCAAAATAATGTTTGATACCCCTGCCAGGATATCAGTCTTGTCTTTTGCTTTATGGCGTCAAGGGCTTCACCAGCATGAACATGCAGAAACTTTAGGTTGATTCTGATATGAACTTGTGCATTTCTCATATGCAGTTGTGGATGGAGAAGATGAAGAGATTCCTTTATTCTTTTGAGCTATGTGATAGAGTGTGGTGTGGGTCCTCAGCATTGCTGCTCCATACATCAGCAAGGCGTGTTTTCTCCCAGAGCAACAATGTGCACATGGGAGCAGCCTGGCCCCAACAAGCCAGATGAGCACTATTTTTCAATTATTCCTGCAGCCTTTGGCAAGCAGCACAAAGGCAGCCAGCGAACAGCGGCATGTTGCTGGACATCTGGTTAAGTGGCAGACACCAAGATGAAATGGAAGGAGCTCTGAATCACATCCAGGACCTGATGTAACTCTCCAGCTCCTCGTTGATTTTTTTTTTTTTTTAGTTAATTTATGCCCGTTTGGTTGACTGCCCTTACAGAAAAAAAAAAAAAAAAACACAATGCAATTCACATTTTTCACATCAAAGTTTTCCACTTGTGAATTTTTTCACATGATTAATTTGATTTCACGTTAATTTTTCACATGAAGGGCATGTGTTTTTTTTCACTTGATTTCATTATTCACATGCCATTTCATGCAAAAATGTGAAATGTGATTTTTCTGTAAGGGTGTTCCTGTTTGTATTGACTGTTCCTGTTTGAACTTTTACTATTCCTTTTGACTGCTACTGGGTTTTTTTTCAGTTACTATATGTATAAACTATTCCTGTATGTTTCAGACTGTTTCTGTTTGTGATGACTGTTCTTGTTTATACTGACTGTTCCTATTTGTTTTGTTTGTTCCTGTTCATATTGTCTGTTCCTGATTATCTTTTTATTGACTGTCCCCCTTTGTACTGAATATTCCTGTTTGTATTGACTGTTCCTGTTTGTTTTGATTATACCTGTTTTTTTGACTATTACTGTTTGTTTTGACTAATCCCATTTTTATTGACTTCCTGTTTGTTCTGAATGTTCTTGTTTATTTCTAATTTTCCTGTGTGTATTCACTGTTCCTGTTTGTTATGATTGTTCCTGTTTGTATTGACCATTACAGTTTGTGTTGACTGTTTTTGTTTTGACTGTTCCTGTTTGTTTTGGCTATTCCTATTTGTTTTGACTATCCCAATTTATTTGGACTGTTTCTGTTTTTTATGACTGTTCGTATTTAGATAGATAGATAGATAGATAGATAGATAGATAGATAGATAGATAGACTTTATTGATCCCATGAGGGAAATTCTTGTGTTACAGCAGCATGGTCAGTAGCAAGATACAACACGTACACATACAAAATATAAAATATAAAATACAATAAGTTAAATTAAATGTAGTAGTGCAGATATGGAACACAGTTGTAGATTTAACCAGATTTACATCAGTATTTACATAAGTACACTTGTGAAAAACTTGTGAAATATTAACTGTTCCTTTTTGTATTGACTGTTCCTCTTTGTACTGACTGTTCTTATTCATTATGAGTGTTCCTGTTTGCATTGACCATTCCAGTTCGTGATGACTTTTTCTGTTTGTTTTCGCTGTTTTTGTTTGTTTTGACTGTTCCTGTTTCAAATGACTCTTCATGTATGTATTACCTGTTTCTTTTTGTTTTTACTGTTCCTGTTTTGACTGCAGAACATCTAGCTAAGAAGGCAGCTTTGCTAGAGAAATATAACCATGTATTAAAGAAACATTGTTGTACCCCTTAGTTTCACCAGTCATATCTTGACATTTCCAGCATTTCATTTTACAGTGGCATAAAGCTGAGAAAGTGCAGGACACGCTTAAGACTGAGGCAGTGATACATTAAATCTGCCCTTAAAACTTGTGCTTGAATTAAAAGCTTCCCCGCCCTTCCCAAGTTATTGAAATGTGTAAAACCTAAATTACCATAAAAGGTTTTCATTAAATATTATTTCAATCTAGACCCATATTTTTTCCCCTCTGAAGTGTGTGCAAATGATTTGTTAAACCATGCAGGATCCTGTTCATCATATTCATAAACCTTTTTACACAGATGCTCAATCTCATTTATTTTGCTTACCACACCCTCTCTGCTGGATCTCTCTCTCTCTCTCTCTCTCTCTCTCTCTCTCTGAAAAATGAAAACATTGCCAAATAGACTGTGTTCTCTAAAATGATGCTGCCATGTATTTATAGAGGTATAATGAATGGGCTCAGGCTGTTCTCAAAATATAGATGTAGTCATACAATGCATAACATTATTTCAAATTATACTTTTCTGTGTGGTACTATTAAATGATTATGATACATTAATGATATAACTCATATTTCAGGAGATAGTTCATACAGTTCAGACAAAAAGATCCAATTTCTTTCTTTCTTTCTTTCTTTCTTTCTTTCATTTCTATGAAAATCAATAAGCCAATTCACTGACACACCACAATCAAATTTATATAGTAAAAGTGTTCTATTTTTATTTCATATGCATTTTCAAATCCTAACCACAGCCCACATAAATACGTACATTTAATGTTGCCCTTAAAAAATCCTCCAGCTCTAATGTAAACCATAATTATGTGATTACTTCTCTTTTCTTAAGTGTTTAAACTAAAATTATTGGATATTTACTTACGTTTCCTCCAAAGCTGAGCTTACAGTATATCTTTCCTCAGATTTCTGCACCCCTTTCTGTATCCTCCAGTTCCTTGCCAAGATGGCTTTGTTTTAGATGTGTAGTAATAAATAAATAAATAAATAAATTTGTATACCCTGGAACCACACAGTGAATTTGTACTCTCATGTTGGGAGCCTTCCCAGCTGAGGATGAAATGAGTTTGAAAGTTAACAAGTCATGCAGCACCACTGTGCAGTGCTTTTGGTTCATTACCAATTTGACCAGTAAGAACTGGTGCTTGTGGTGACAGATGCTCCCCATGGATCATCACAGACTGTTTTTTTTAATCATTGCTTGTTCTGTCATGGGCTTGAAAGCAACAGGTGATATTAAATGGTAATATTAAGCCAAATGTGGAACAGCTTATGAGTGAATTTCAGTGGTCAAAGCACATGAACAACAGCAAGAACCTTGTACTGAAACAGTTTGGCACCAAAGCAAATGTCTGTGACAAATCATTTGTAATATCGTGGTCTGGGCTTCAGGTTCTCTCTGACTGGACACTGTAAAAATGCAAATAGAAGTATTTATGTCAGCAATGCTACAGACCAGAAAAGTACTTCACATTTTCACTAATCACACTCTTAATTATAACCGTTTCTGATGAATTTGAGGTTGTTAATGTGGTCATATAAGCAGGAAAATTATCTGTTACTCCTGAATAGTTTCTTACCCTGTTACCTTCAGAACAGTCCCAATAAAACAATAGCACCCTCTGGAGTGTAATAACACAGAAGGAGGAAGGAGAAGGAGGACAAATGTGCATCTGTCTTACACTGTTGCTTCTTTCTAAAAGTTATACTTCCGTCGCTCTTCAGATCACATTCTGTTGCACATTATGCATGACTAAATGGATGTTGTTCTTCTTCTTCTTTCAGCTGCTCCTGTTAGGGGTTGCTACAGTGGATCATTGGTCTGCATATTTGATTTGGCACAGTTTTTTGCTGGCTGCCCTTCCTGAAGCAACCCTCCCCAATTTATCATGGCTTGGGACTAGCACTGGGAGTGCACTGTCAGGTGTAACACCAGTGGCTGGGGTTGGCTCCCTGGCTGAGAATCGAACTCGGGCTGCAGCAGTGAGAGCGCCATGGCCTAACCACTAGTCCTCCAGGGACACTTGCAAGAAAAAATGGATGTAAAATAATAATAAATATGAGGCAGCCTGGGAAAACCCTTTACCCTGTGGAATGTTTACATTTTCTACTACATACAGAGAAAATCCCATTTAAAGATTTTATTCCAATTCCACTGAAAGATGCCTCACTTACCTACTTCTCCACATCTACTTGTGGAAAAACAACCTTAAATTTTAAAGAATTATATGTTTACAATGGGAAATGATTTCTCATTTTGATTATCAGCATCATTCACATCAGCTTCTGTCTCATCACCTGAGCTAAAAGTCATTCACAGCATTTAAACATGAGCCTCATCGCTGTCTCTTCACTTCACTGATCTCTGTTCATGATAACATTAGTGCTTAAATAATCATTGCTTATTTCAGTCAGTTCTGTTTTATAAATTACTTTTTATTGGGTCATTTAAACATTTTAAAAGTTTATCTGCTGTTTTGATGATTTTCGAACAATTTGATCATCAAGAGTTTTCAATTTGATTTTGATCATTTTAGTTTGACAGTGCAGGAGCACGGTGGACATTTTGACAGCCAGTATCTGATTACAAACTGAACTGATTAGACTTACTGTATGTCAGTTTCACTATGGCACGTAGCTATCCAAAAACTTGATCAAAGCGTGACATTCACTGTGTGAGGAAATGACACTTGACAAGGTTTTAGATAGCTTTAGGCAGAATGACTGTTTATCCCGCTGTGTTTCTTAAATTGGCTCCTTACACAACATGATCTTTGCAGGCAGAGAGCCTAGGCAAGAGTAGAAAGTAGCCTAAATAAAATATTTTCACATTGTTTTGGTAAAATATATGTGTGTTTCCTTAAAGGAGAGATGTCCTAGTATATTACTAATTCAAGTCAAAGTATATTAATGATTAATATGATCTCCCTCTGCAGTAATCTTGAGTAAAAAACAACAATTATCTTTAAGTGAGCATTTAGAACGATGTACAGATCAAGTCATCCAACACATCAACATTGTTTTAGAAACAAATGGTTCTTGCAGGGGTCTTTGGATGGTTGAGGATTCATAACTTTCTAAATTCCTACATAGAACCTTTTAGGGTTTCACTAAAGGTACAAGTTAGATTTAGCCTTTATTTCTAAGAGAGTAAAGCTTTTCTTCCTTGGTTTAAAATTATATGGATGCTGACAGGCTACATGATCTATTTCTTGTTATTTTATACATAAAGTTTTATTGAGGCAAACCATTTATGGTTAGCCCACTGTCCTAGCTAGCAGCTATGTTCAATCCATTCCATTTACTAGGGAGTTCTGAGAACAATTGGATGCAATGTAAGAGCATTATCACAAACAGAGAAGTTATGTGAACTGAATTGGATTTTAGCTAAAACAGAGGGTGCCAAAAGGAAAAGAGCTGTGTTAAAGTGGTTATTTAGTAAGTCATCTATCTAAGTGATAGATATGCCCAACATGCAGGGCTGGCTGGTATAAATGAGCTGACAGGGCTAAGCCCTCCCTCTTCCTCTAGGAAAATTTTATTTGCTGTTAACAAACGGTTTAAAGTGGCTTATATAGAAATAACGGAATGATAAAGCTTAGGGCTAATTTCTTTCTAGCCCAAACTGTAGATTCCCTCAGACACTCATTGTTGACAGTCATGTTCCACTTAGTAAAATGTCCCATAGATTTAATGTGCATTGCGGCCAATTTATTTAAGCCCACTTCACTGTCACATCCATAACCCACCATCAGTAGTGACTGATAAAGTGTAAAATACAATAGACAGTGTTCCACAAGGTGGATTACTTTCTTAATCACTGATGATTCAAAATGTCTTTGGAGAAAGTAGAAGTAAATAGACTAAGCAAACATTGTCCAATCAATCTTCAAATTACATGAAGAGAAAAACAAAAGAACCATAAGTTTTGAATGTTTTGAATCAAAGTACTGAATAATACAGCTTTTCTGTTTGCTATTAATGCTTGATAACAGAATGACATGATTTTGAACATAAAGTACTTGACTTAAAATGTATCCTGTCTATCTGTCTGTCAATGAAAGTGTTCCTATGTGTATGTTTAATAGTTTCAGGCCTATAATGAGACTCAACCATAATAGTAATTCTGACTTATGGGTAGGTCGTTGAATCTTTTTGCCCTTCCATATTCCCTTCAATATCGTGATGAACAGTCACTGGCGACATAACAATGAGAGTAAAGGTTTTGCTCATAAATTCCTTAGTTTGAAGATAGTCAGCTAAATTTGGTAAGTAACAAACTTCAGTGCTGACAGTAGATGTGGAAGTCTACATATTTTATAGATATGTTGTGTGACTGAGCCAAAGAAATTTCAGGATCCTGGTTATTATATTAAATTAGCAGAATATTTTCTGAACAACACATATATAGGCACATTTGGTACACTGAATGTTAAATTTGTCTGGTTCCAATGCTTAGTGGATATTTTTATATAATGTAACGGTAAGATTTATGTTTCCTACCATAAAGCACTTATCACACCCCGCACTGCATTACGCTCCCTCTGATCCTCTAGCACTGATCAGTTGGACCCACCGTCTCTCAGGGTACAAGGAAGGCATGCATCAAAGCTCTTCTCTGGTCTAGTGCCTAGGCAGTGGAATAAACTTCACCTGGATTTCTGAAGAGCAGAGTCACTGGCGGTCAATGACTAAAGACCTAATTCTTCATGAAATACTTAAATTAGCACTTTGTTATTTAAAAAAATAATGATAATAAATATAAAACAAAAAATAAAATAAAATAAAAATGTCTTGTGTGTTTTTTCATACTGTACTATCCTCCCCAGCAGGGTTATTAGACTGTACTCTTAGTCCCTGACCTAGTGAGGCAGTATGAGGATGAATTTATTGATAGAGACTTGTATCTATTTTCGAAGTCGCTCTGGATAAATGCCTCTGCCAAATGCCATAAATGTAAGTGTAAATGTAAATGTTATGTGAAGGAAACAATTAATATGTCACATTTTCAGAACATTGCCAAAAAGTTATTTTTGTATCATTTATATAAGACTAGGAGCAATTTCATACAGATGTCAAACTTACTATGGAAAAAAAAGTTGTGAGCACAGCAAAACTACTTTTAAAGTGTTCACTCATGTCTATATTTCACTGTATTTAACTTCTCTGGTTGACATTGCTATGTATTTGAAACATGTAAATCAATACATGAGTTCTTAAGGATTGTCTGCATTGTCCTTAGGAGGTTAAATGACAAGATATGCAGATTGACTCATTGATCCTAAGCTTGTCTAAGCTGTGAGACATTTTGTTAGACAATGTGAGTGCAAATGTCCCCTAACCTTCTCAGTGAAATGCATCATACAAAGTTCTTTGTTAAGTGCTATATGTCATTCAGATTTTTTTAACATCTGTACCCCCTCTCTACAGTGCAGTCTGTACTTGTATATGATTTGTCAATAACATACATTTCGTTCTGCATCACCAAGCAGACCACCTGATTGACCAATTGATCTCACTGCAGAGCAGTGTATACATAATTGGTCAATGCCATACACTGGTTGGCTCACATTCAAAAATAAATATTGAGCTTGCCAATGCTCCAATGTTAGCTAACCTACACAGCTACCTGGCTAGCTTATATCATTATGGAAACTGAAATGTTAGTGATCTACTTATTCAAGCTACCATAAGTGTAGGTGTTTAAAAACACATTGCAGCCCAAGATGGAAGCAACCAGTAATTCTTCAAGGTTCAAAAATATTTTATGTGTAAATTTGCCATCCCACAAAACACACTATATTTATTGAAGCCTAGTTTAATTGAAGAAGTTTTTTTTTATTATTATTCTGCTGGTGGTCTTCTGTAACATACTCACAGTCTACCATACTGTATAGGAAAAGCCTTCATGCTCTTTGATGATGACAATCTCTTTTCAAAATTATTTACAAACTGCTGTTTTAACCCACCTGATTCAGTTAGTGTGTTTCCCAAAGCTTGGCCTGTGGTGTATATCTGAGCTTCGGTATGCCCAGTCTGAAAGCAACTATCGATTTTCTTTTCACTCCTCAGGGTCCAGTACCATTTATAGACAGATTCATGGATCAAAGGTTTCAGTTTCTGACAGACAAGGTTCCACACAGCCTGAGCAATATGAGCCTCTACTGGACATGCTTGGTTCTTATTTTGTTGTTGTCACTGTTCAATTACTTATGGACAAACTGAAGGACCCCAGAATAGTTGCAACTGTAGGTTTAGAAGGGAACAATGAGGGCATTACAGAGGTTAAATATGTTGTGTTGAAACACACATGCTTAATTTCACATATACTGTGGGGTCCAAAAGTCTGAGACCAGTAGTGAAAATGCTTCTTTTTTGGCATTCTTTTTCAATTTAACACAAAGGTTTTCGTTACCAATTATATCATCAGCAACAACTTAAGTGAAAAGTAGAATCTTAAATATTTACATGAATTTCAGAATTTCTTAGTAATTAGTATGTCATCTTTTTTGCTTTAATGACAGTGTGCATTCGAGCTGACTCCACAAATTTGCGTAAAACTTAATGATCCATGTTAGCTCAGATCCATCAGAGTGTCGTCTGAACACATGCTTCAATGGAAGGGATAAGACTCATGGAAAATCTGACCTTTTGTACAAAGGAGTTAACACAGACAATAGTTTGACACAAGTTTGCTTAAATTTAAATATACCAATTCTTAAAATGTACTCATGTAGACCTGGTGGCTCATCTGAAATAGTTTCTGGAACTGAGAGCACGCAGCACAGAAGTACATGTCCATCAATAGGGCCCTCCTTGTAGTTCAGTGAATAGCCTACCTTGGATGGAAGATGCGATGTCTACAGCAGTGTGTGGCAGGTTTTTCCTTGGCTGATAATGACCCAGAAGATGAACCAGCATGTTCAACTCTGACATCACTTGCCCAAGTGATGAGCAAGTCTAAACCTGCATCTGTGAACCCAATTTTCGTTTACCTTGATATGTCCTACATCATCATGTT